GCCCTGCAGACGGCTGAGCTGGTGCACGCGCACGCCCGTGGAGCGCGCCTCACCGCGGCCCGCCTCGGCCGCGCGCAGCATCAAATCAATGGGCAGCTACGGCTGCTGCAGCGCCAGCGGGAGGCTACCGACCGCAGGCTCAGCGAAGTGCGCAAGGGACTGCTTATTAACCAGCAGAGCGTCAAGCTGCGGGGCTACCGACCCAAGTCTGAGAAGGTGGGACCACCACCCCCGCCCCCTAAAGCCCAGTCGCAAAGACTGAGGCCTCTGCTCCCCTGGATGCTCAGCCTGGGCAAAACCCACCCTATAGAGAAAACACTCCTCGATCCAGGCCCCAGCTCTGCTGAATAAGGGGACAAGAAGACAGTCTTCAGATGAGGGGCCTCGGTCCTCAGCCCCAGAGACTGAGATCCTCCCAGCGGAATGAGATCCTCAGTCCCCTCACCCCAGTGGGGAAATCACTCCCAGTCTCCCAGCCAGGGAGAGAGGTGGGACTCTTGAGTCACACTAGATGAAATTCTTCCCAAAGAGTAAAATCCACAAGTCCCATCCCAGACGTGAAATCACCACCCAGTCCCCAGGCCCAGAGGATGAAGACCTCCCATGGGATTAAGATCCTCAATGCACCAATCCCAGTGAAAACACAGCCAAAGCCACCAGCTGAGGAGAGGGGGTGATGTCCTGGTCCCAACCCAGGTGAAACCCTCCTCAAAATGTTTATTTTTACAACCCTAAACCAATACCTCCACAGCTTCAGGGAGTGAGATCCTCTCCCAGGCTTCATCTAGCAAAAAAGGAAGAGGTCCTGCCTAAAAAGTGAGATGCTTGAAGTCCCAGCCCTTGCATCAGAAAGTTAAGTCCCCAGCCAAAGAGAAAGGATCCCCTAATCCCAGCCCTGGTGACATCCTCCCCCTAAAGTGTAACCCTCACCCCAAAAAAGGGGAACATTCCAGCCTCCCTGGAAAGAGAAGAGACCCCACCCACAGGGTGGGATTCCTAGTCCCAGCCCCCAGATCCAGATAGTAAGACCCCAAAAAGGCAAACCCTCATCATCCCTATGAGCCTCCTCCACTTCCAGCCAGGGAGAGGGTATAAGACCATCACCAAAGAAGGGAGAACCCCAGCCCCAGAGAGTGATGATAACCTTCCCCCAAGTTAAGTCACCTCCATCTCAACTCACTGGGCTCCTATCTATTAAAAGGGAGAAGCCCTCAGCTCCACTCTCTAGGGTGTGAGACCTCCCTCAGATGAGAGCCCCATAAAAGGGTAAAGCCTTCTTAGAGAATGAGACTCCCAAAGAGAAAGGGTGCCCACAACTCCACTCCTCAAAGCCAGAGTTTATGAGGATGGCAAACTCTCTACCATCCTGAAGGAGAGCTCTCCACCTAGTCCTCTCCCAGGGGTGTGAGAAATTCTCTTCTTGTTTTCCAGATCCCTGACAAAGCTGACAGTACGCTTACCTGGGAGAAAGAGGAGCTACAGAGCATGAAGAGGAAAATGGAGAAAGATATGGAAAAATCAGAGGCTCTGCTCAAGGTTGGGCATGCCCGGGGCCAAGTTAAAGGCTCTGCGAGGGGATCATTGGCTGCCTAATGGGTGAACCCCTCTAACCTTGGGAACTGTAGCAACAGCCGATCCCTCAACCCACACACCTACCGAACCCTGTCCTGACCGTCACCGTATTTCCACTTCCTAAATGGAAAAACTGGGGCTCTGAGATGGAGTTGGACCTCAGAACAGCAACAAACATCCCCTTTGTGCCAAGCCCTGTGCAGTCATTGAGTTAACTCCTTAAAACAGTCCTGTGAAATAGGAACTATGATCCCTTCATTAGGGATGGAGAAACTGAGGCTCAGAAAGACAAGGGCTCACCCAAGGCATGGGGCTAGCCAGTGGTAGGGCTGTGGTTCCAGCTCAGGTGTCTTTTCCCCCCAGCTTTAGTATGGTATAATTATTCGCTTAAAATTGTGTATGTATTAAATAATGCCATTTGCAGCAACATGGATGGACCTGGAGATCGTCATAGTAAGTGAAATAAGCCAGAAAGAGAAAGGAAAGTACTATATGATATCTCCTGTATTTGGAGTCTAAAAAAAAAAGACATAAATGAACTCATTTACAAAACAGAGACAGACTCACAGACATACAAAATAAACTTCTGGTTACTGGTGGAGGGGGAGGGGATAGGCAGGGATAAATTGGGAGCTCAGGATTTGGAGATACTAACTACTATATATAAAACAGATAAACAAGGTCTTACGGTGTAGCCCAGGGGACTATATTCAGTACCTTGTAATAGATTATAATGAAAAAAATATAAAAGGAATATACATATATATATATGTATAACTGAATCACTTTGCTGTACACCAGAAATTAACACATTTTAAATTGACTATACTTCAACAAATAAAAAAGAAAAATTATATATATATTTAAAGTGTGCAATGTGATGATTTGATATATGTGAAATAATCATCACAATCACCTCACATCGTTACCTCTGTGTGTGTGTGTGTGTGTGCAGTTTAAGATCTACTTTCTTAGCATATTTCAACTTAAAAAGACAGTACTGTTATTCATAGTCACATTAGATCTCTAGAACTTAATCCTCTTGCATAAATGAAAGTTTGTACAACCTGACAGTTATCTCCCCATTTCTTCTTACCCCCAGTCCCTGGCAGCCACATTCTACTCTAACCTATGAATTTGACTATTTTAGATTCCACATATAAGTGAGATCTTTCTCCATCTGGCTTATTTCAATTAGTATAATATTCTCTAGGTTCATCCATGTTGTCACAAATGGCAAGATTTTCTTTTTTAAGGCTGAATTATATTTTATTATATATATATTATTATACAATATTATAATATATTAAGATATCTGCATAGTATGTTATTAATATATTAATGTTATTGCCATATATTATTAGTATCATAATATACTTATATTAATATATAATATAGTAATATTACTATTACCTAGCAATATTATTATATTATTATATTATATGTCACATTTTCTTTATCTATTCATCTGTCAACAGACATTTACATTGTTTCCATGTCTTGGCTATTGTTAATAACGCTGCAGTGCACGTGGGAGTGATTTCTCTTCGACATCCTGATTTCCTTTGGATACATGCCCACAAGCTGGAGAACTACTTTATGATTCAATTTGGCTGGCTCTTTACACAGTACTATATGCTTGTCTTTGTTGACTTCAGCCAGAGATGGGTTCTCACTGCATCCTTCACTCTTGCAACAAGGATTACTTTATGAAAGCACTAATGGAGATGGGCGAGTAACCAGGTTTCATGGAGCCTGTGTGTACTCATCCACTTGACAAGTATTAATCCAGTATCCTGGTGTCCCAGGCACCATGTTTGACACTAGGGGCAAAGCAGTGAACAGTATAGAACTGGCCTTGCCCTCGAGGAGGTCACATTATAGGGCCCTTCAAAGAAGAGACTGGCCAGGGTTGGAGGCCGGGGCAGAGGGTGGGGGTGATGAGGGCGGGGCGGGGGGGAGTTGAGGGAGGGGATTTAGGAGCTCTTGCACCACTGTCCATGGTGCTGAACCTTATTTGTGCTCAGCCCACTGCACCTCTAGGTTGCTATCACATTCCTTTAAATCTGGTGATTCCTGAAAAATCCCCCAAGGAAGTCTGAAACAGACAAGGGAGAATACATGACGGTGGCACTAGTAGGGAAGGGCTCACAAGAGAGAAAGGGAAGTACAGAGATGAGAAAATACAGACACACTAGAAACACAGAGGGCCACTGGAGAGGCCTGTAGTGAATATTTCTGCAGAAAAATGTTCACCACCAAGTAGACATGCTTCAACTTAAAATTATGAACTTAGATTTAAAGTTGACACTCAGAGTTTTCCCAGAGGTGTCACCATGTGTCTCTAGAAGTCTTGTTATCCCACTGTGCAAGTTATTTCATATCTTCTCTTCCTTCAAACTTTTCCAACTTCTTCCTCTTTCTTTATTCTCAGTGAATGACCTCAGTGCATGGAAACCATGGAATGACCTCACTCATTTTTCCTCTGCCAAGCCTATAATTCCATCTATCTACCACACCCACCTTCTGCCCCTTCTCCTGCATCATCAGTTTTTCTTTCTTTATTCTCACCAGTGAACAAATGGGGAATTATTCTTTAATGGGTACAGATCTGTTTGTGATGATGAAAAGTTCTGGAAATGGACAGTGGTGGTGGTTGCATAACATTGTGAATATACTTAATGCCACTGAACTGTACACTTAAAAGGTTTAAATGTCAAATTTTTATGTCTATTTTACCACAATAATAAAACCAACTCTCTTGATCCCATATACCCTTCCAGATAATCCCCATTTCTCTGATTCACTCACTAGCCAATCTTACCTGCACATGTCGACCCTCTTACTTCCTTTGGGCAGGAACTGGACCATTTTCCCCCACTGCAACCCTGCCACCTGGCACCTGCCCAGCATACAGGAGGGATTTGGTGAATAGTTGAATAAATGAATAAAAGACTTTTTAAATCCATTTTTTAACCCAAATGGATGAATCCCAAAGATAGGATATTCAGCAAAAGAAGCTGGACATAAAGAGTACACACTGTATAACTCCACTCATATGAAGTTCTAGATGTCAAAAGCTTTTTCTTAAAGAGTTGGGTAGTAAATATTTTAAGCTTTGTGTGTAATACTGACTCTGTCACAACTACAGATGGTCCCCAGCTTATGATGGTTCAACTTATGTTGGTGCACAGGCAATAAACATTCCGTAGAAACTGCAATTCAAATCTTCAGTTTTCATCTTTTCCCCAGCTAGCAATATGGGATACAAAAATCTCTCATGATGCTGGGCAGCAACAATGAGCCACAGCTCCCAGTCAGTCACTCATAGGGTAAACCAATCCACTCATAGCCATTGTGTCCATACAACCATTCTGTTTTTCACTTTTAGTACAGTATCCAATAAGTTACATGAAATATTCAACTGATACACTTATAACCATTCTGTACCCATACAACAATTCTGTTTTCTCATTTTCAGCACAGTATCTGATAAATTACATGAAATAGTCAACATTTTGTTATGAAATAGGCATTGTGGCTTTGTGTTAGATGATTTTGCCCAACTGTTGACTCATGTAAGTGTTCTGAGCACAGTCAAGGTAGGCTAGGCTAAGCTATGACATTTGGTAGGTTAAGTGTATTTAAATGCATTTCCACATTATATTTTCAACTTACAATGGGTTTAATGGGATGTAACTTCATCATAAGTTGAGAAAGATCTATGCTCAATTTCACAGCATCTCACAAAACAACCAGAAACAATACAGACATGAATGAACGTGCCACATTCCAATAAAGTTTTATTTCCAAAGCCAGATGGACAGTCCATAGGCTGTAGTTTACCTGAGCCCTTAAAGAACAGACAAAATTAATCTACTAGGCAGATTAGTGGAGAAGGGGTATGGCACCAGGGAAACTTCTGGGGTAATGGAAATATCCTGTATTTTGATAAGGGTGGTGTTTACATGGGTATACACATATGCAAAAAGTCTTCTGTTTTAATATAATTCTCAAATAATTGCAAATATCCAAGGAATGCAATATATTTTATAATGGTGGAAGTAGGATTTGGGTGGGGATGGGGGTCCAGATGCAATGGAGCCTGGGAGGAGGAACTCTGAAGACAGCAGAGGGCTCTTGATATTGATTAGAGAAGAGGAAGGGAGACCTCAAGGCTGGTGCTGGGGATGGGATAAGCCCTGAAAGCAGTTGAAGAGACGGGATGGCACAAGAAGACCAAAGTGTAGATGCAGCTAGCTAGCTCTCCACTTCACAGATGGGGAGGGGATGCTTTCTTAGGGTGCCAGAGCAAAGCCAGGCACAGAAACCAAGCAAGTGATACCTGGGACACGAAAGCTGCCACCAGCCCCTAATGCTCCTCCTCTCCCCACCCAGGAGTGGCTTCTGGACAGATGATGAGAGTTTAGGGCATCTGAGCTTCAACTTGGAAACCAGTTTCTCCTTTCCAGCTGTGAAAAGAGCTGGAGAAAGCCAATTTGGAGGCAGAAACACTTTAAGGCCTCCTGGAGAGAGATCACTTTCAGCCACTTCCCCCAATCTCCCAGCTTACAATTGGTCTCTTCTCTGCCCTTCTCTCCTTCCTTGTACCCCAGGCCCTGGCCTCCTGTCGTGACACTCTGGTCTTCTGCTGTAAAGAGAGGCTCCAAGCTGTGGAGCTAATGAACCAGCCGTTGGACAAGGTTCTAGAACAGGCTGGCCGCCACTCTTGGGTGAACCTCTCCCGGGTTCCGACCCCGCGCACTCAGGGCCTGAAAACACCGCCTCCAGACCCCGTGGGCACCTACACCCCAGGTAACTCCCCACAGAGGGGAGTCCACTATACTGGGTGCTCTTGGTGCCAATTTCTCCCCCACTTCTCGGCTGCTGCCTTCCCTGGGTAATTGCCCCCCTTGACGAAACGGGAGGGCTGAGAGCAAAACCCATGTTCTTGGTTAGCTCTTCCCCCGTGAGCTCCTGCTTCCCACGCTCGAGCCCCGCCACCCCCCGCAGCACTCGCTCAGTCATTCCCTGACGCTGCTCCTACTACCCCCGCTATTGGTCCCTCCCCTTGGACTTTCTCCCGGCCCCTCAGTAAAGCCCCCTCGCTTGCCCGAGGCCCACCACCACCTGAGAATAGAGAGGGGGGACTCGGAAAACGAGGCTCAGGAAAAGGAGACCTGGCGCCACACACGCGTCCCACCTCCCCACCGCCTCCGCAGAGTGCGCCACCGCGCTGTATGAAGCCAAGCGACTGTTGATGGAGTCCAAGGACACTTTGCTAGATATGGCAAAGAACGAGGAGGACATCCGGGAGCAGCAACAGCAGATAAGCGACCGCGTGTGCGCCTCCCTGGCGCAGAAAATGCGCGAGACTTTGGAGCTGAAGGTAGGCGCAGCTTCTAGTTGGCAGCTGAGGTCTGGGATGGGAGAGTACCGAGGTGCGAGACGGGGGAGGGGGTGGCGGGGGAGGGGGAGGGACGCAGGAGGAATGGGGACGTGAAGCCAGTGTGATCCCCCTGTGCTCCCACCTACCCAGGAAAAAATGAACATGACCTTAGGGCTAATGAGGGGAACTGTCCACCGGTGCACAAAATTCAACCAGGAGATGTACATCACCCGTGACCTCATCAAGGTATGGTTTGAGGAAAGTGTCTGCAAGGGTGAGGCCAGGGGTGTCCGGGTAGGCTGGGCCTCACTGCTTCGTACACCGCACTCCTCCAGGGTCCTTTATCCAAAAATTACCTGGAGACTCGAGAGAAGTTGGACAGACCTCTGGTGCGCGTGTACCAGAGACACGTGGGCACCCAACTCCCCGAGGCCACCCGCCTCGCCCAGGTACGTCCCTTTCCACCCCCTTTCCGCGCCTATCCACCCTCTCCAGGAACCGCCCCGCCATGGTGAGACTTCCTCCTCAGGCACATCTAGCCCAGGTAATACCCTCTCACCCAGGTCTGTGAGTCTTTCAATTCCCACCCAGGAGGAGGTGCTTCAATCCCGACACCTGTCTCAAATAAGTTCTCTCAACCTCTGTCCAACCCCACCTTGAGCCCTTCCCCTCACTTTTTTGGGTGCATTCCCTCCCTCAGCCCTGCCCTGCCTCGTGTTCTTTTCCAAGTACATTTGGCCCAGGCGTGAAACCCCCAACCGCATTCAACGCTGGCCTCTCCTAGCTGTCTGTGCCCTTCCACACGCACACCTGACTCAAAGGTGTACACCGCCTCCCCCCCCAACCCGCATCCGAGGCCCGCCTCCTCTTCGGTTGTGCTCCTTTCACACATACACACACACCTGGCCCAGGTGTGTCCACCCATCCCACACAGCGCCTGGCCCGGGCTCGCCTGTCTCCCAGCACGGCCCTGCCCCCTCTCCAGGGCACTGACAAGCTGCAGCGCCACATCTCCCATGTGGAAAAGAACCTGCAGGAGCTGCTTGCCATGCGCGACAATCTCACCTGGAGCCTCAACTGCAAGAAGATCGGGCATGACGTGGACTACAACGTGGTGCGCCTGCGCCTCCGCCAGCGGCACCCGCACGTGTCTTATGAGCAGGCGCAGAACCTGGTCAACGACTGGGACCCACGCACGCCGCCGCGCCCTGAATCCAGCACCTACCCCAAGGGACAGGTGCACCTCTGACCCAGTGGTCCTCCCTCTCTCCAGGCCCGCCCTCCCTCTGAGCGCCCTCCTAGCAGAATTATAATTAAAAATAACAATAATTGCCATTTGTTAGGCACCTAATATATATCAGCCACTGACTCTACTTTACAGGCAGTGTATCCTGGAGGTTAACAGGATGGATTTGAACACCATATTTCTGGGGTTCAAATCCTGGCTCCCCAGTTTCAAATTATGTGACCTTAGGTAATTCACTATTCCTCTCTGGCCTCAGTGTCTCCAACCCGTAAAACGTAAAATTGCAGCATTCACCTCGAAGCTTTGTCATAAGGATAGATGAGTCCATAGTTAAGGCTTGTGGAATGGTGGCTGCATATAAAACATCCTCAAAGCAGGTGAATTGTTATTCCCACCTTACAGCTGAGGAAAGGGAAGCACGTAAGGTTAAGCGGATGCCCAAGGTCACACAGCTTATAAACAGAAGAGCTGTCATTTTAATACCTGACTCTACAGCCTGCATTCTAAGCAGAACTTGGACTCTGCCTTTATTGACAGTGCACGCGCATGCGCGCGC